TATGCCTTCTCTGTATTTTTTTCTTTTACTTCTCTCTATTTTTTTCTCTGTATGCCTTCTCTGTATTTTCTCTTTTACTTCTTTACTGCTCTCTGTATTTTCTCTTTACTTCCTGCTCTTTATTTATTTATTTTTTCTTTTCCCTTTACTTCATGCTCTTTATTTTTTTTCTTTTCCCTGCATTTCTACTTCTCTCTCTTTCCTTTTGATTTTGCTTACCGTATTTTGCCTCCTATCTATATATATATACATTTTTTTTTGTCTTTTCTTTTGATTTTGTTAACAGTATTTTGGCCTCTCTACCGTCATCTCATATTTTTTTGTATTCTAATTAATTCTTCTTTCCAAATCTTTTCTTTATCTTATATGTATTTTATTTTTTTTTCCTTCCTCTAATTTTGTTAAAATCTAAAATTCACAGATAAATTTTCATTCCAAATCTTTCCTTTCTTCTTTCCTCTTTCCTTTCTTATTTACCTGTTAATTTTTTGTTCGGATTCTTCTCTTTTACTCTCTATTTTGTATTTATTTTTCTATCTGCTCTGTATTTTCTTTTATTCTATTGACAAATATTTCCCTCATCTATCTGTTCTAGTTATTTTTCTATGACCTAACATCATAACCAAAAATCTAAATAACTAAGCAAAAGAACCAGTGATCTAATTCTGAATAATTAGACAAACGAAAAGGAAATCTGATCGGGATAAATGAAAAAGAGACCAGAGATCTGAAACATGACTTACCGTAATAACGACAAGATCTCTCTCCACAAATTAAATCTCCAGCTCTCCTAGTAAATCAATCTGGTTGTTTGTATTTTTTTCTTCATTGAGGAACCACCCATGATCCAGTATTTTGATTTGGGATATTGACTGATGAATTGGTTGAGGAGAGATAGTTGGGAGAGGAAGGAGGGGTTAGTGGAGAGTAGTTTACGGAAAATTATTATTTTAATTATTAAAATTAAAATTTTTTTTTTTGGGTCGTTACAGAAGTTCTCTTTGCAACTCCTAAGACAAGTAGGGTTGTTGAATTGACGTCTTTTATCTATCATGTATCTCGATATTAAAAGATTCTCAAGCGTTCACTTCAGTTTCCGTCATGAAGTTGCGGGTGGCTTAAAGTCAACTATAGTGTTCTTGGCCGCTCTATGGTTAACTCAGGTCTCGACATACATAAGATCACTTTCCACTAGCTCTTCTATCTCTTTCACTCTCTTCTAAAGAAGTACTTTAGTGCCCTCATGCGGGGGTGTTCAATGCTTTCAACTAGCGGGGGTGTTCAATGCTTTCAACTAGCGGTGTTTCAACTTTCACTATCTCATACTCAGCTTCTGAGTTCATTTAAAATTTTGCTTGGAAGGCATAGAGTGATGCCTTTTTGGGCACTCAGTTTCTCGGTGGCCCCCTTTACATATGAAGCAAAACAAGGGATCTTGACTATGATTGTTCTAGCTGTGAGGTCTTGCCAATGGAGTTCTACTGTATTGGGAGGACTTGCATGCTCCTCCTCCGCCTTCAAGTCTATCGCTTCCCACACCTTTTGAGTTAGATTGATAATTTTTATTACACTCCACCTTGGGTTTGATCACAGCTAAAGTCAAACAGTCGTATGACTGTAGCATCGGCCGTGGAAAGGTCATGGACTCTTTGTTCAAACAGTCGTATGACTATAGCATAGGCCGTGGAAAGGTCATGGACTTTTTGTTCAATCTTCACCTAGTGCTTCAGCACCTCAACAAAACTGAAGACCTTGTCTTTACCAAACCTATAACGAATATCTAATATATAAGTCCAGAAAACTACTTAACATAGTCTTAGATATTGTCAGGATGCCTCAACTCCCTTAACTTTCTTCTTATGATTATCTCAATATTATTCGAAAAGAGGATGCCTCAACTCCCTTAACTTTCTTCTTATGATTATCTCAATATTATTCGAAAAGAACTGAGAGAATATTTCTTGTTTTAAGCTCTCTCAAATCTCTACAACACATCGTTCATCTTAAATGACCATGTACTTGGATCTCCACTACAACTTTGCATCGTCAACTAAATGCATTGTTGTCAACATGACTTTTACTTCTTCTGCCACGCTATTGTTTTCTAAAGTCTTGGCATCTCGAACCCTACAAAAGGGATTGGGCTCCAGGACCTTTACGTTGTTAATTGGACTACATCCCCAGCTGGGATTTGGTTCCCCTCCGCTCTCATGGTGAGGTATAGTTTGGCGCTCAAATCTTCCAATTCAATCCTAACTACTCCAAGGACTACTCTTAGATCCTCAAACATTTCTGAGACTATTTGAACGATCGCTTGTTGGGTATTTCCTAGGCCCTCAATACGTTCTTCCATCGAGTCATCCTCACGCTCGAAGCCACTAATAGTTGTGGCCATGTCTTCTAGGGCCTCGACCTTACCAACTAACTCGCGGATTGGCATTGCCTCTAGGTGGCATACCATTTCTTCGATTATGTCGGCTTTAGCGGCAATCTCATTCTTGTGAGACTCCAAAAGCTCCATTGCGTCAGGAACTTCACTTAGGTAGAGCACCTGATCTTCAATATCTACCAATCAGTCAGTCTGGACTTGTCCAGTTGTTTTGTAGCGAACATGTTTGATTACTATGATTCAAGGAGTTGACTGCTTGATACCACTTGTCACAGTCGCATTTTGTGGCACTAGGACAACGATTATACAACACTTTTTTTAATTCAGCAAACAAGTAGCAACAACAACTTTGATAGCATATAACCTATAGTTCATTTTGGTTATTTTAATCCTAGCAGGTGTAGACATGATTTTGGTGGATAGTCGTGCACCCCCACATTGATATGGCAAGAATAGTAAGAACCTAACTATACATGAAAGCAAGTAAAATGGGATATTGGCAGGCACGTGTGCAACATCACCAACCGCCTCTCTTTTTTTTACCCCAACCGTAAGAGTATTTTTAAATATTCTAACGGTTCATATTTGTAAATTGTTTTAATGATTTTTGGTACATAGTAACCACAACACACATGTAGTAACCGTCTTATTTTAAAGAAAGAGTAAAGTCATTACAACCGCATTATATTTGTGATTACTTTCCTTCCACATTCGGTCGATTGAATTTACTTTGATTTTTTATAATAAGTTACCGCTGCATAATATTTTACCCTTCAATCTTTACCATATATTTTACTTTCCTATTTAGAATCTATTTGAATGATTTGAAAAGTGTTGATCACGTTTTACTCTTCATCTACAAATACAAATATTAGAAAATTGTTATTGTCATACAAAACAATAAGGTGTGGTTGAAGCATACAAAAGTCAACACTTTCTCCTCGATAAAAATAATTAAATTTTTTAGACTAATGTAATACATCCACCAATGTCCCTTAGTTTGTACTTTACAAATTTTAAAATAAAACATTAATCTAGAGAGATTTTGATCAAATATTTATAAAAATTTGTATCCTAAGTTTCCTTTTTCCCCTTCAAAAAGAGAAGTATTAATTTAACAATGAACAATGAAGAACAAAATGTAAAGAGATTGATTGATTGACTTTGATATGATCCAATGAGTTGGACACATGAAAGGAATTTAATTGCATGTGTCTTGGAATTTTTACTTCCAATGCTCCTTGAGATCTCACCTTCTCCATCTAATTTTCCTATTTTCAAGTCTTTATATATAATATATATATGCATGAATTTCTTGCTTATTAAGCTATGCATGCTATTGCTAGATAACCCTTTTTTTTTACGATCATTATGTGAAATTTGGATTCTTAATTTTACTGTTTTACCCTTTACAAACTTTTGCATTTGTTTATCTTAGAGGTCTTAAGTGTTTTAAGTTTTTTTAAAAAAAATGTTCTAATTTATATAGTTTAGTTTTTGTGCTATAATTAATATAAAAAATGTTGTATGACACCAAATGGATTTGTGGAAATGCATTTGGGATAATAATGAATTGAAACAAGTGTTTTAAAATTTGTATTAAACATCATATAAGTTAGCTGAAAGCTGAGTAATGCATGACCTACAGCAATCTAAAGGGGGCTTTATTTGATCAACCAAAATTGATCTATTTCTTCCAATACCTTTATCTAATTGACATGAACTACATGGGACTTCTCCGTCCTGTCAAAACAGAAGGCCTCTTAACTTATCATCAAGCAAGGGGAAGATCATAAAAGAGAAAGTCTAAAACTTTTGTACAGAGTACATAAATTCATGCAAATTAACAACGAGAAACAAATACAGGTCAATGTCAAAGGCAATAGCAAAAAAAAAAAAAAAAAAAAAAAAAAAAAAAAAAAAAAAAAAAAAAAAAAAAAAAAAAAAAAAAAAAAAAAAAAAAAAAAAAAAAAA